CTCGATGGAGTTTAATAAACTCAGCCGTCTGCTTCGTGCTATCTAAAATATAACAGGAACTGGCATAAATTCTCGACCATCTCACACTTCTGTTTAATCAGTTTTCTGTTTGACGTTTAGTCAGCTGTATGAAAACCAAGGAGGAACCCACCCAGGGGATTAAAGTTTTATTTTATCTAATCGAATCTAATCTAATAACTTTAATCTCAGCCAAACAGATTTACTCACGAACAAATAAAACACTGAAAAAAGCCAGAATTAATGATTACTGGTGCTGGAAATACTAGCGCTTGATGCAGCGTTTTGATTTTGTTGCCACGGGTACCCACAAAGCAATGCGCAAAAGTCACGTGGTCTGTCAATCTCTATTGTCAACTCCCAGCAAAAAAATAGGGAACAACCCGCCCACCCTCCGCCTCCTGATGCTTAATCGATGTAATCTACTTTAATTTAATGCACGTGTAAAAACACAAAACAAAAAACACAGAAATAAATTCTTTTTCTACAATAATTAAATAGATTCAACATCTTTACCAACAGAATTGCAGACTGCACAGATGGTATCTTCCCAAAAGAAAAAGTACTATAGCTTACTATATATGTTAGACTTAATAGTTACTATATACAGTAATTCTATACATTTTACATCAGATTAAAACTTTGGGTGTAAGATTCAGATAATTATTTATTAAATGCTAGACATTTTAAATGAGAAAGAAAAGTATGTCTTTGTGCTTTATGCTCTTTGTGATAATTAATGGATTGGATTACATTTTTTATTTCTCTTCGAAATCCGATCCAGTAATTTAGGTCAGTATCGGGCCGATACCGATACGTAATATCGGATCGGTCCATCCCTAGTTTGCATGTGTTTTGGAGTTTGTACATGCTTTGTCTCTAGGGGCCACCATATATATTTACATTATAAAACATATATATATATATATATATATATATGTTTTATAATGTAAATAAAACCTATATACAAAATAAAACCAGGTTATATTTACATTACAGGGCTCTAGACTAACTTTTTGCCACAGTTGCACCGGTGCGGCACAAAACTTAGGCGCACTCAAATTTTTCAACCGCATCCCTTAACACCACAGTTTTACATGTGCACTTTTTTTGGGGGTGGGGGGGGGATTGCAGTCCATACAGACAATATTCATTTGTGAATGATTAACTAACGATCTTGTACTTAAAGTGCTTTGGCAATATTGTAGAAAATGTTAAACTTAATCATCATCTCTGAGTCCTCTGACGACATGTTTGCAGCTGTCTCTTGCTGAAAGGCAGTGAGGAGAGGGGACACTTGGGCAGTGCATTTATTGCAGCATATAATGTGTATTCTGAATACACTGTGCTTTTTCAGTGTTCAAAGATTGATGGCACTGTGTCAGAGCACTGCCTATGAATTTCAGATGGATCAGGCCTTAACTTAAAAAAGTTGTTAATAGTTCTTTACATCTTTTCTTATTACCCACAGCTACATCCACTTCTGTCGGGCCTAGGCTACTCACTAGGGCTGAGTATAATTCTGATCATTTATCAGTACTGATACATGTGAGACTTCATCAGAATTGTGAACATCACAGCAGATGCCTTTGCGTGAAAGTAACTGAGAGTAAAACACAGAAAAACATGAAGGAGATTTTCCTGGCCTGGATTTTTATAGCAGATAACCTTAAAAATATTCTGCAGTTTTGCACAATTTTAAAAAGTTTAAATTTCTTCAGTATTGAACAGCACAAATTACGCTTTCTTGTCTGAAAGCGTAAGCGTAAACAAAAGAAAAGAAAAAGACAGTGGCCGACAGCGCTGTATAAAATGGTAGACTGGTGGGTCATAAGCGAATGAATAATGCAGAAAACAGATTTGAGATGGGAAACTGTTCTTGAAGTACAGAGAGAGAGAAAGAGAGCTGTGCATGACGTCTGATTTTTATCGTGGTGAAAGCAAAACAGCAAAAGTAAAAAGGGAATTCATGACGACATTTATGATGATTCTGATGCGTCGGATCCACGCTCTGTGTTTATGTCTTTGTGTGGAATCCGTGTACCTGCTTTCATTTGCTTTTTTTCTTGTTTTCAGTAGCAAGCGATGCTTATGATTGTGCCAGAGCATATTTTGAGCAACACCATGGGAATTTCGGATTTTACACAGGTGGTTACACTCTGGAAATGGAAGGAAGGTGCACCTCCAAATCACATGACTAATTTAAGCTGACATAGCAACAAGCTGCAGCCACGCTGAGTCTCTATTTCAGCCCACATTGAAAGTTTGGACTTCAAAGTTTTTAAATTTTAATTACAGGCCAGTAAATCCAGAGTTATGATAAATACTGTCGCCACATTTTTGTGTGTGTATGTTTTAAGCATTTTTTAAGGACAGCGCGAAAACAGTAAAGAAAGGGAAAAAAAGCCACCTCTTTCCTATCGGTGGAAAAATGTACCATATCGACCAATTAAAAAAAAGTCAACATGTGGGTATTTGGTTGTTTAGGAAGAGGGGAAAGTTTAGGGGTGACGGTAACGGCAGCGAGACAGAGTGAGCGAGTGAGAGAGCTTTTAGATGTGGGAGATTTGTGACGTTTAGTGTGGAGTGTATAGTTAGTGTGTTGTGTTGTCTTGTGTAGTTGTTCTGTTGTGTAGTCGTTTTGTTTTGTGTGTCAGTGAGGGCACTAATGATCACAAAGGCACATTTGCAATGTAAACTCTGTCAAGAAGTAGAAAACCAACGGAGTGATGCACCTTCTGTTGTCAGGCCTGCAGGTTAATCCCTGTGCTGTTCTCCTCTGTCTTTTGGTGGACAAACTTTTTTTTTTTACTGGCACACAATATTTGTGGGGCATCTTATTGCCACACCTGATTGTCCTCTCATTTTAGTTTTAGTAATATTTTTTAATGGTTGTACAAAATGGAAAAACAAAAACAAAAAACGGCAGGTGTACTGGCTGCATTTTTATATAAATAGTTGTATATGTTTACAAAATGTACAATTGATATTTGCATTTCAAGTTATAAAAATTTACTCAACATGTCTGTGGGGTTTTTTTTACAGTAAAAAAATACTACTGGGCTTTTACGTTCTTTGTGTGATTTCAGATCAATAATACTAATGCAGTATGTCTGTGACATTTCTGACCCCTGTTGGGGTTTCTCTGTAATATTGTAGTGTCTTTACCTTACAATATAAAGTGCCTTGAAGCAGCTTCTTATGAACTGGCACTTTGCAAATAAAATTTATTGGGCTGAACTGATTTTCTTTTTGTTTATTAAGTCTGAGTTGTTGTATTTGAGCACTTTTGATCATTGTATTCATTCCTTAAAACAAGGTAACAATTCTAAACTTTCCACTGTGATCCTAATACCTTAGCAGAGAGTAGAGGTAGGAAGTACCAAAGTAAAAATACTTAGTTACTGTACTTAATTTTCAGGCATCTGTATTTTCAGAATCAGAAAACTTTAATAATTTTGCATGAGTATTTATTTTTTTCTGACAAATTTTAACTTTTACTCCCTACATTACCTTTAAAAGATATGGGAGCAGAAAGAAAAGGTAGTGGAATTTCTGGCTTTCAAGTATGGGTGGGTTTTGATAATCGATATATTGATTAAAATCGATTCTGGCTTGGATAACGTGATATCGATTCATTAAAATCCTGAATCGATTTTTTATATAAATTTATTTTGCCCAAAACGCCAGAATCTCGTTAAACCTCACAAAATTTCGACAACCACCAAACAGCTAAAACAGTAAATGAGAGCAGGAACACGGATTCTGCACAAAGACGTAAAAACAATGCGCGGACCCACCGACAGATCAGAATCAGTGAGAAGTCGCCTTTCTCAGCCGACGGCACGGACACGCTCGGGGCTGAAAGCCGACAGCTCGCTGATTCTGATGTTTCGGCGGGTCCGCGCTTTGTGTTTACGTCCTTTTTGCGCTGATTCTAGAGCTGTTAGTTTTATCTCTCTCCAAACAATATTGGCCGAACCAGCAGCAAAAGAAGATCCAAACTACGCTTCACATAAACATCGTCATGAATTCCCTCTTACTTTTGCTGTTTTGCTTCCACCATGATAAAATCACACTTCATGCACAGCTCTCTCTCTCTCTCTCTCTCACACACACACACATACGTGTTTTCGTGATATATCAGTACGTATGACAAAAATTTGACAAATGGGAACGTGCCTTTCCAAAGGTCCTACAGGCATGGGAATCACAGAAAGTTTGACCCATGCTTCCAGGAACACGCCCATCTGTTGAGATTTTGGCTAGGGCTACATTTTGGTCAAACCTGAATTTACTGCTACTTGTGAGGACACTGTCAGGTTTATGTGACTTATGAGTACCATAAGGTCACACACTGATATTTCATGTTTAGGTGAATTGTGAAGCCCATGGATACACACATAATTTTTTCAAGTATACATGACTTATAAGGACCAGGTAAGGCTAGAGTCTGTATTTTCAGCTTGGCTCTTGTTACAGGTTTTTGAAATTACAATATAATAGGCATAGATGTACAATAGTAATGATGTCCAGTCAGGTAACTTCTGACAGAAATATCAGACATTCATGTGTTAATACAACGCAGTAAATCTGAGCTGTATAGAGACTTAAAAAGAGACATAGCTCAAAAATGTGGTCAGTCTACTTTTTAAGTCTTAATATTGTATTGCATTAATTCATTTTGCAGTGAATGTTTATGTGAATAAAAACATGGAACATTATCTGCCTTTCTTATTTTTTAATTACAAAATGCACTCATAATAAACAGATTTATGGGTAAGAACAATGCAATGCAGAGACCTGCAATACTGAAATAACTGTGAGAGTAACAAACTATCTCCCTTGCTTGTTTAAACTGAAAACAGAGTATGAACTTATGATGGCAAAAACCAGGAGAAAGGACTGAGTAACTTAGTCATTGCTAACCCAACAGACATAAAGTCAAAAAATAAAATGAAAATAAAGTTAATTTTAACTGATGCAGCATTCCTGAACCTGCATTTTATAATTTTATTTATTCATCTTTCTTTTCAATGTTATGATCCTGTTGTGAATGTAATACTTTACGGCAACCCAGTCTCTGCCTTTCAGAGCTGCCGGTTCTGCTTGGATGCAGGAGTCACATTCCTTTTTGCCAGGTACTTTGCAGCTTGACTTCATCACATCATTTGTCCACTTGCACCTTGCCTTCCCAGCTGTCATAAATGGAAACAAAATAAAATATCTTAATGCGAATGTAAGATAAGAGAGAAAACATTCTAGTTTATAATGTGAATACAAAATGTTCTTAAACCTTGCTTTCTACTGGAGCACTTTAAAGGAGCAATAAGCACAATTCATCACACTTAGGTTGAAGGAATTAAAAATGGCTATGTGAAGAATTAGAGGTGTAATCTAATCTGGAGTACAGCATGAAGTCACAATCCCTCTCTCTGTGTTGATCTTCAGCCATAGACTTTGGTTTGGTTTGCAGGCAGTGCACAACGGCACACCTAGCAGTGAAAAGATATTGCTTAATGCTCCTTTAAGGATGCTTGGGATGAACCATTTGAAGTGCTGTGTTCTGCTGGGAATCAAAGAAGATGAAACGGATTATGATAAAAGCTCTTAATAGTGTCATGTCTGAAAAGAATAAACATGTCCATTGATAACAAGTATATTCACTTAAAACATTTTGTATATGGGTGCCTTTACCCTTTCTTGGTGCAGTGTTGCTGATGTTTTTGCTGTCCAGGGTGGATGAGGCAGAAGCGCCCTCCATATTGTCCAGGGTGGTTGAGGCAGAAGAAACCTCCATATTGTCCAGGGAAGCTGAGTAAAGTGTGCGGCTTTGGTTCCCAGAATTCTTGGTCCTTGAGCCTTTGAAAAGTAACAGTGAAATATGAGAATTAATGCATGCAATTGGTTTGTTTGCATTGTAGGCAAAGTCAGCATTGGGCAGTGTGTAATTTTACATTTGATATGAATATTTTACATGTGAACATAATCTACTAATAATACTCATCAATACTCAGGCATCTCCCTAGCAACACATTACTTGCATGCACTACCTCTCAACTTGTGTGCCTAATCTCACAGAAGTGGACCTCCTAATCCTTATATTTAATATTTGCCTTTGTATTGCTTATTTATGCATTTTGCCAGACTTCAATGTATCCAGATCTTTTAGTACCATATTAATGAATGGTGTCTACCATTCTGTCTAATGTATATACTGCTGTCCCTTAAGCCCATCTAACATGACTATCAGGAACCTATTAGCTGTCTCCAGTCTCATAACTTAAAGATATTGTCACACACTGGACAAGTCAAGATACCAGTGATGGTTTCTCCACTGGAATCATCATCACTTGTAACTACTTCATCTTGTTGGGGAAAAATAGTCAAGACAAAATATTTATATTAGAATCTGCTGAACATTCACAAATGTTATATTCAAAGCTAACTATGTTTAAAAAAAAAAAAAGAATTCACCATCAGGATTGATTGTGATGTCATCCAACCCTTTCCCCTGCAGGTCAGACAGTTTTCCTTTCTCCATTGCAATCAACAGTTTGCTGACTTTTGCAAGCCGCAGGGTACTCTCTGGCTCTGGAAGCCGGTAGAATTCTCGATGGACACGGATGTCGTGTCCGAGAAAGGTGGCAAGTTGATCCATTTCATTTTCTTTTAGATTTAGTACTGTGGACAAAGTGTCAACTTGTTTCCGCAATCTTGTTGAGGTAAGGGCCTCTGGGTACTTTGCACCACATTTATTTGCATACTTGCGAAAGCAGTCAGAGCCTCTGTAATGGGAAAGGACACCTGGGCGTGCAAACAAGTACACATTCTCTGTGCGGACTTGACACTCACTTCTGGCTTTTGCGAGGAGCTCCATTGCAGCGATCATGTCAGGTGTGAGAAGCACAGGTACCATTCTTGACCTTTTACCACGAATCTCAACTCTGTCAAAGTGCTTTGCAAGTTTCCTTTCAAACTCAGTTAGGCCGATCATGATATCAGGATGCAACTCTGTGCGATTCCAGAATGTAAAAACCTGGAGCTCCATTTTTGAAACTTCTCTTTGCCTTTTTCTGTTAAATAGCACTACCCTGTTAAGTCACTTGAGCAAGATTTCCGAAGGTTGTGCTGTTGGGTTTTTCCTCAAGGTCCTTCATGTACATTGCAGACTTAGTAGCAAGAAACTTGTGCAGCAGTGACACATCCTGTGTAAATGGCAAAATCTGTGGTTTATTCCATTTGGCTTGTTGAAGTGTGCCCAGTGCAGCAGCTGAAATGGACTCTGACCACTTTTTTTCATACAGAGTGGCAAAACTGCTTGGCTGACTCTGCAACATCATAGCGATTTGCAATGATGGCTTTACACTGCACAATGCTTGCAACTTTAGCCAAACTGTGTCCCAATTTCAAAGCCAAGGATGGGGTTTTATATGATTTGCTCTCCAGCTCATAACCAGCAACAGCTCTGACTGCCTGTATGACATGGGGAAAGTTACTAGGCATAACAAGGTCTTCTGTGCTCTTCAAAGGTGTTATAGCTCTGGCGGTTATCAATAACCTTGCGATCTGTCTCATTTTTTGGCGTATGTAATCATTCCTTCTCTCATTTGGTTTCCTGCCATTGTACAGTGACTCACCAAGGCTAAGAATCTTTCACTCTCTTTCACTCGTTACTACCAAGGAGATGTCATCCTGATTCATTTCACATGCAATCTTCCATACAGCTTCATGAACTTGATCAGGTTTCGGTAATTGCAGATGCATCCGTCTTTGCCCAGAGGGAGCTTCCTCATTAAACCTCTGAGGGCACCTTCTCACATGCCTCCAAAGGCAATTTCTTGCATATAGGCAATTTCTTGACAAAATTTGCAATGACGGTAGTCCTCAGATCCTGTTGCAGTAGTGGGTCTTCGACAAGCAACCATTTCTCCAGCACCCGAGTCAGTAGTATTATGGTTAAAGTTTCCCCTCTTCTTAATAGAGCGCAACAAATCTCTTCTTTCGCGGGATCTTTTATCATAACTGAAGGCGCTTGCAACTTCTGGCACATTACCGTGGGCAGATTCAAGGTGTCTTGCCAATTTAGCAATGGCCTTTTTACAATATAGACAGTATTGCTTCTTGTTGTACTTGCTTTGTCTTTCCGTGTTTGGCAAAGATGTGACTTTTATGGAGCTGTCTTTAGGTGATGTGACCCCTGATGAATCAAAACTGCGGCTTGTTACCAAAGTACTGTGACTGCTACTTCTCAGTGACGAACTAAATGTTGTAGGTTTCTCTGAACTGGTGATCTTCCCACTGTGTCCTGAAGCCGTCTCCAATGCCATGTCATTTAACATATTTTGGGGAACCACAGATTCTGTGATTTTCATGTCCACACTATGGAGACTTGTGTCAGAGGAACTGCCACATGAATCTGGGACATAGTCTTTATCTTCATAATCCGTACAATCTGAGAATTCATCAGTAGAGACCTGAACGAAAATGGAGAAAAAGCACCTTTGTATTTATTAATAGCTAGAATGTAACTCCCCCTCCAGTAGCAGAACATTCTGCAATCCATGACTTGATGAAAATGCGTTCATGTAGTAAATATGCATAGTTATATAAATAAAATTGAATTGAATAACATTAGCTATGGTTCATACTTGCTGTGTGGTCGGCTGTAATGTTAGATTGCACGATCGGCAAGAGAATAAACTTTCAATCTTTTCATTGTTTTCCCACCTGGAAAAAAGGCATCCATCCTGTACAGCAGCTGTGAGACGAGCTGATATCAAGTTCACTACCATCCCCAGATATCTGTTGGTGTGTTCTAGACATTTTCATTCGGGTAAGTTCTAAAAGGTTCATATTACTCTTTATAGTGTATTAGTTTTATTTTCGATGCACTCTGAGGTCATAGCAAATTAGAACAAACACCCTAGTGAGTGATTTTGCAGAACTATGTTCTATTTATAGAGTTGATAATTATTTGGCATTATTGCAGGCAAACCAGCCTGTGAAATTGACGATACAAATTCTGACTGGATTCCAACGCTACACATGGGGCACTCCAAAATCCCTGCCTCAAATATACCACCATGCCAATCATATTACTTCTTCCATGTGAGGTTGAAGAGATGACCCTTCTGGATAAGATAGTGAAGCTTTGCTGCGTTTTGGTGAACATGTGCCCCATTGCGGTTGTACAACCTGTGAAAAATTAAACGTGCTTTTGTTAAATACTCTTAAAAGTCTTGTGCTGTATATATAGTGAGATTCTTTTCAAAACATTTTGTCATTTGTCACTATAAATGACATTGATTCTACACTGTAACTGTTGTGATTCTCTATAAAGTGGTTTTAATTTTAAAAAAGGCAAACATTTTTTTTTTTTACTTTTTAACAGTAGTACTTAGTAAGTACATATTGAGTAAATACAAATTATTTGCATGGCAATGCACTTCTGGCATAAATCTAGACCTCCTATATAAAAAATGATGGGTCATTCCCACAACCTGCAGCTTTACTGTGTTCGAGCAGTGTATACAATAGAGGTGACAACTCCAGAGTAGCAGATGGAATTTTTCTTTTTTGAGGACAGCTTCTTTTGCCTTTACTACGGATGGTCTGTTTATGTTTTGATCGAGAGCCTTTTTTGGGCAGGAGAAGTCCGAGAGGAGAAGGCCGTCTAATGGCCAAACTCTGGGTGAGATCTGTGTTGTGTTGGCTCCTTCCAGCCCTTGACAAAATATTTGTACTTTTACTGTAATTTCCTTACATTTTAAAAATGGGTTCATTACTTTGGGTTTAACACATTAGATGGAAGCCTTTATTTACCAGTCTTTAAACAACAAACTTATATCAATCTAATGGAGGTGACCAATGACAATCTTATAGTGTGACCAGTGATTATTACACACACACACAAAAATGAAAGCAGTAAAAAGATATTTCCTCTACAATCTGTAGTGCTGTAGGGTTAGAGTGGATTAAGGATCAAAGTGTATAGCAACTTTCGTGACGGCTCCAGCCCCTGGCTCGGACACCTGCAAACAATCGTCTCATCTCATTCACTTCTTAAGGCGGCTGCTGAGAGTGCTTCTTCGCTGGATTATTGTGTAACACTCGTTAGTGTCCTTGCAAATCTGAGCTTTTTCCCGAGTTTCTTTCGTGCCGCAACTTACCTGTTCTTCCTTCCTGTGCCAGATTTCTCGCCAGCCTGAGGACCGCCGTTTGGTGAGCTAAAAAGCCGGAGTCGAGCTACCTGAGCTTCAGTGAAGGATTGTGCACATAGCCGTCCCCTCCCCGTGCCTGTGTTCCCCGGAGACCCTCTTCCTGTGCCCCCTCACCTGTATATATCCGCACCTGGTGTCTGTGTGTAAATAAATTGTGAACTTAAGTGACGGTCTGCCTCCGAGTCTCTCCTGAGCCTGACAATAGCACTGCCTTTAGTAGCCTCACACAGGTCCTACTGTTTCCTCCTCATGTCTGGACAATGTTATATCATGAGTAATAATTTTAAAAAAATCCATCCATCCATCAGTCCATATACATAAAACACACACATGCACACACAGTGACATTTTAGACCTTCTTCAGAATATTGTATATATTATGGGCATCACAGTGCTGATCGAGAATCCTTACATTATTTTTTAAAACTAAATACGTTTCTAAATACTTTAAAACTAAATATGTTCCCTAAAACGGTGACAGAGCTACAGACCCATGACAGCCTTACCCAGGTAGCCAGCAGCTATGACCAGCACTACCTGTGCAGTTAATAAAAGGACAGGTAATGTTTGTCGCGCTGTTGCACACACAGCACGCTCATTTCTTTCAGTTCGTCAGTTGCCACAAGACAGCTCACCAACGTGTACGTAATAAGCCAATACTCCTGTGTGCTACACACTACAGTGTACGCTGTACACCTACTTACTGGTTTTGTCGCATCAGTCTGTGTCTCTGAGTTAACTTGTGTTTCTCCTACAGCTCCGGACTGCAAAAAATGCGCGTGCTCTTTGTGAGCTCGTTCCCGGCTCGTAACCAGCGCGTTCTGCCGTAAAGGGCGATCATTGGTTAATAGTGATCATGTGACTGATGCAAGCCAGATCCTTTTATTTAGCAAAACTGTGATTAATAGTATATATTATTGTTGAGGGGCACAGACAGGACTCCGCACGCCCACACACATAAAACATTTTTTTTAAAGTTGCCTCAACAGAAGGGCACACATCAGGAAAGGGGCGGGTGCTCAAGCCCCTCAGTGGCGGTGAAGTCCACTACACTGTTCTCACGGGAACGCAATGTTTCCCACCTACAAGGGTGCAAATAACTGTAAATTAGTGATGGGACGTTCTGTATCGAGGCTTCGGAGCGTGTGTCGAGTAATTGAGGGGGCGTTTCCGCGAAGCGCGTATCGAGGCTTGCTTCATTTATGGGAGGAGCTGAAAATGATGACGTCCGAAGCCTCGCTGCCCGGCTGTACCACGTGACTGGTTCATGAAGTGGTTCGAATTTCGCCGCGAGATATGACAGCGATATAAACCCCTCAGACTTCATTCAAAATGTGGGTGTTTGATGGAGAGTTGAGGTTAGTGAGAGTTTGGAGACAGTTTGGAGGTTTATGAGAGTGAGGAGAGAAAGTCGGGAGAGAATGGAGCCAGCTAAGAAGAGGAGGATGTCCTCCCCTGTGTGGGAACATTTTGATTTTATTCCTCCCAACAAGGTATGTAAATTTCTACAGAAGATGTATTTTCATGATACTGATGGTGCAATACAATTTATGTTAAGCTGTCTGTACTTTTGTACAAGGTGAAGTGTTTGCTATGTGCCAGGGAGCTGGGATATAACAACAACATCCATGCTTAGGCACTACAGAGCTTTGCATGAGAATAAGGGGAACACCGATTGTGGAGCAAGACCAGGTGAGCCATCAAATGCCATGATGATATGGCATGCAGTAATGTTACTAAATGATATAACAATATTATACAACTGTAATAAGTTACGTGTGTGATATTTATATTTGTGCTTTATCTTTATTGTCTTTCCTCAGGAGAACAATCTCAAATAGATGAAGACCTGGTCAGCATGGTGATTGAGGACTCACAGCCATTTAGCATTGTGGAGGACAAAGGATTTAAAAGATTTGTTAAATCATTAAATCCCAGCTATGTTCTCCCCACTAAAAAGGCCATAAAAGCAGTGAAAATTTAGTTTTTACAGAATAAAATGTGAACAGGCAGGACTGAGGCTCAAAGCCTCAGTGTGTAGCTGTCCATACCTCAACGTTACAAAAGCACAACTACTGTCCACACCCCAACCACACCTCACCTCACAGTAAATGATCATTTCCATTTTAAGCATTTCCAAATAATCATTTTCCATACTGCCAGTATAAATATACACAGTATACTGCCATCACTACAATATAGATGTTTTACACACTCCTTTTGTTGTTGACATTTACAGGCTGTGTGCAAAATGCCACACTCTTCAAATTCATGCCAGCTATTATTTTTTACGTCCAGTAGGTGTCCTGCTAGAGCAAATGAAGCTTCATGAAGCTTCGCATTGGGGTGAACCAATTGGATGAAAAGCTTCAGTGCTTCATGGGGCTTCATCTGCCCATCACTACTGTAAACCTCGGCCACAACAACCAGAGCTTAAGTGGTACATTGTTGTGTAACCTACCGTTCTAACAGAAGATGAGGGGGACCCGCATCAAGCTTTCATGGAAAGAAATTAAAAACACCAAATTGCCCAACTTGGACCAAGCACTGGCAGCTTCAGGTTTGCTGCCCACACCTGAGCTTATGAAAGGAGCAAAGACCAGCTCCGCCCACCAGGGGCAGTTCCCAGACTCAGGTCTCACCTGTCACATATAGCAGAGATATTCTGAATTTACACCGATAATGCTTAGTTTTATTTACTGATTTTTAACTTTGTACCTGTTTAGTGCCTAGTATAAAGTTAGGATAAACAGTATAATGGAAATCAGCCAGGTTAGCTTGTTAAATTTTAGGTTACATTCTGTTAAATTCAGTTTTGGAAATCCACAAAGAGCAGGAAACTTCCGAAGAGTAGCAGCACATGTCAGCTGATTACAGCCTGTACACAGAAAATCGTCTGGAGCTCTCAACAGAAGTTATTGTGAGTATCTGATACACACATCCTTTAAAGAACTAATTTTAAAGTAAAGAATGTCTGTACGTTTGCCACATATACCACACACCATTGCCTTAATGAGTTTTATTAGTGAATTACGTAGCTAGTCCTGTAGTTAATCTTAAAGCTGAATCATGATAGTTAATCCGATAGCTAAGAGGAAAGGGATCGATAAGGAGTGGGATCACCCTTTAAAATGTCAGAAAAACAAACAAACATCTGTATTCCTAATTAAGTCCTTAAGTCCACTTATTTAATAAATTACATCTTTAAAATATTTTGAATTTTTTTTTTTAAAAATTGGAATTCAAAAATGTTTATTAAAATTAGGATTTCGATTTTTTTTGCACAATTAGTTTTATGGCACAATTCGTTATTAAATCATAACATCCGTTAAATTTGAAATATTTATATTATTTACTCTTATATTTTATTAGTTAAACAATAATTTATTTTGTTAATGCCTAAACAAAAATACGAAATTAAAACTGAATTTGTAAATGAAACTGAATCTGATCTATTTTAAAATCTATTTTACTGATGTATAATCTTAATTGCACAGTACATTTTTAAAACGCTTTATTTCGATGCGTGTGACTCTTCCGGTTCTCCATAGTTGAGTGTTGTTATGTAACAGTACTCCGGTGGCGGCGTCTGATGAGGCTTTATTAGCCGTTGCTATGGTAACCACTTGTTTCGCCTAACTCCTGCATAAGGTACAGGACATTGAAACGTACTCTTCTGGTGGTTTTCTGCTGTACCAAAGAAGGTATATATCATAAACGCTAGGCTCCTGTCGTTTGTTAAGTTAACCCGTCGGAAACTGTGATATCAGATTGAAGTTTGAACAGCGGGCAAGTAATTTTGGGGTTGGCATACACCCTGTGTTGTTTCAAATGGAAATTTGCCATGTCGTTTTACTCTTTTACTGGTATGTTTTGAATTGTCCGGTGGGAGGGTGTGTGTGTGTTTGGGAGAGGGGGGGGGTAACGGAAGCTGTTATTTTAATTTTGACTGTGTTTCTGTTCTTTCACTTTTTAATGGCCGGCTGACTATGAAAATCCATCTGCTAATGCAGAGGGGAGGGAGACAGGACAGAAAACAGGCTGTATGCATTTGCATCATTGTTTAGGACACAGTCTCAGGCTGCATTAACACAAGACTTCTCTGAAGCAGAACACTGGTGGTTCAGACATGATGAGTGTTAGATTACTCAGGGCTGGCCAAGACTCCTTTTCACAGCAGTGCAGTTGTACAGGGTGATATTAAGTGTTTGGTATTCCAGTAGAGGCGATCAGCTGGTGTTCAGTAGACCCAGCAGAGTGTCATGGGCACTTTCCTCTGGTGTTATTTTTTAATTTCTCTGTAACAATCAGCAGCCACAGTTCTTTCCACTTCCTTGTTAATGTTCCTCCTTCCTGCTCATACTCACTACCAAGTGGAGAACGATGTCGTTCCCGGACCACAGCTCCCTGCTGGGTGTGGGACCCGATTTGAAAAACATTGAAGTTATGCTGAATCACTCTGAGCTCTTCAGGGCAGAGTGTAAAGGGCTGATCCAGGAGACTGACAAAGCATGGCGGCGCATGCAAAATGATGATCAAAAGAGACTCGGTAAGCAAAAATGAATATTTAACACAGAATGAAAGACTATGGAGGTGAATTGTAATGGTTCTTCCTTTTTTTTTTAAAAATTCTGCTGTCCAGATCAGCGGGTCAGAGATATCCAGTTTCTGATAAAAGAATTGCAGCTAAAGCTGGAGGAGGTCATTCTGGAGACTGATGCTCTTATGACTTTACAGAGCAGTGTTGTGAAGGCTCTGGAGGGCACCAAAGAGCCTCTGAGAGTCACTGTTCTCTGTCTGGAGGAGAGGTGAGGCAATATTTTTTTTAATTATTATAAACGTTTACAAGTTTATAATAATAATGGTACCAAAGAGTCCAGGAAATGATTGAAGCATACATTTTAAAGAAGCTAATGTGAGCCCTAATTCTGTGTAAAGATGCACCTCCTAGTAACATTAGGCTCATGATCTGCAGGATGAAACGCTTCCCGGCTGAGAGGGTGGAGGATGAAGTGGAAAGAGAGCTGCTGAAGGAGCAGGAGGTTCTCAAAGGAGTGGCTTCCCTCCTGGAGCGTACAGTGGAGCAGATGAGTGAACAAATTCGGTAAGAAAATTGGGTTCAATTTGATTTCGAGGGCATCATAAAAGCACACAGAGGCTTTGGGTTTGCTACCTAGCCAACCAAAGTGAAAGTCTGCTGTTTTGTTCCAGACTGAACCGATCTGCCAAGTACCATTTAGAGAAGGATCTGAAGGAGAAATCTGAGGCTCAGCACATTGACAACTCCTGTGTTGTAATGACCACCCATTCCATCGGTAACCTGCAGCTGTCCACAACCAAGAGCACCAGTCTGCCGAGGTGAACCTCTTGTTTAACACAGAAACATGTAGAAACAGTTTTCAGACATGAATTAGTTTTTTCCTACTTGAGGTCTAAACTTATGCTGTGATTAATTTCCTTAAGTTTTCTGCATAAAAGGAAAGTCAAGAAATGTTAAAAAGATAGTTGCGTCATTTGGTTTTTCTTAGCTTGACAGTGACTCCAAAGCAGTGGGAGAACATTTCAGATATCAACATAGCTAAAGCAGAGCACCAGAAGACCAACTCTGAGTCCATGAGGGCCCTGGTGCAGTCTGTCCTGGAGCAGACAGCTGCTGACATGCAGAAGCAGTTCCAGGCAACAACAACTGCCTTCCAGACACATATCCAGGAAATCAAGTCTGCCAAGAGCCAGATGGAAGAGAAACTGCCGGAGGTAGGGCAGGGAGGTTTGTTAGACTGCATGCTTGTTGTAATATACAAGGAAGCAGATGTAATGCTGTGTTTATCATTCTGCCAGGTATTAAATTAACGACTGGTTTCACATCATTTTCTGTTCTGCTTTAAAGTTAGCACGTGTTGTGGTGACCTAAGTCAGGCCTTTATATTTATATAGTTAGGAAGAATGATGGCCTGCCAAACGTCACTCTGATGGTCTAAAACTCCTACTGGTTCTTTCATAGATAGCCTCACAAGTTCCTACTTCATTTTGTCTATTTATTGTCTTTGGTTTCCTGTAACACATTACTCACATAGTTTGAAGGTGTGGTTTCCAAGAAAGTTGCCTGTGCAATCTGCTGTTCTCTACAACAGTCTGTCCTTGTGTGTGCATACACACTCATGGACTGTGTCCTTATACCTCATATCGTTTCAAAACAGTAACTGTATGATTGACTTCATGTGATGCATTCAGGGGCCATGCATTGTTTTCAAACTGACCCTGCAGTAAGTGTAAGCATGAAGAAGCATGAAGTCTTTTTTTTATGTCATTGCATCAGCAAAATGATTATTAAAATATAATGGCCCATCCTCTTGTAGACTAAAAGCATGCATACATTGTTGATATTGTTGGCCTCAGATAATTGTGGTTACTCCCTGACTTCAAAACTCTGTTTCAGTCAGAGTGTCGCTGAAAGTCCACATTTGCAGGTACACTGCTAAACAAACCTCTCACTTTAGTTTTCATTTCCAGGAGAATCAACATGTGCAGAGCAAAATGTGTCTGCATGTAACCAGAGGGCTCTCCTCTAGTCAGAGTGCCAAAAAGATGTGAATCACATCAAACTTTGTCCCCAGTAGATCAAAGATTCAGAGTGCAGAGGAACTGAATTATAGAGTGTACATTAAAAAAACAGACATAGCAACTGTGGTGTCATCATTGGATTTGCATTTTTGAGGCCTCAAGAGTAGCACCTTGCACAGTACCTTAGTATTTTGGTCCCAGAGGTGACCATATTTTGATGAGAGGATAGAGTGCAATGTAAACAGCTAATGCTATCAAAGTGTATTAGCAAGCTAACCTTATGTGTGCAGTGCAAAGACACATATATCTGCTTGTTACAACAGAGGAACAGACTAATGAAATGTTACGGTGTGAACACACCGTTAGAATGTTAACTTCATAGTAGAATTAGTTTGAAATAATTTCACTGCAGATTGTGAATCTTGGCTGCCCCTGGTGTGACACCTGTATTCCCTCTAGATTCTGTCTGAGATATTCAGCCAGGAGAGGCTCAGAGAGGATCTGCAAGTGGCCATCACAGAGAATGAGCATTCCCTGAATCTGGCAAATACCCGGCTGGCTATGCGTCTCCAAAGGCCCGGCAAGGAGCAGTGCTACGATCTAGCCCAGGCTCAGCTCCTCACTGAAATCCAGCACCTCACCTCTCACATCAAGAAGTATGGCCTGCAACAAAACAGATGTAAAATGTTTGTGCTGCACAGCTCAAACCTCATGACCGTGTGCAGTATTTGGGGATATTACTGCAGGGGACACACATCATTATGCAATGTCTTTTTGTCTCTGTGTTGTCAGACTGCGTGAGGAAACAACTCAGTCACAGGAGCAGCAGAGGGCGGTAGTGCGCTGCAAGCTGAGGATGGAGGAGGATGTCGATATGAAGGCCAGCTCTCTTTACATTGACGAAGTCATCTGCACTCAGCTGAGGGAGCCTGTCAGGATACATACATTCTGACCATTATATGCACTTCAGATGTATTTCAAAATGCAGTCATATAACATTTTCTTTACAATAACTGTGATCCTGTTTGTCTTTTAAGTAGTTGGTTGGCATCATTTTTCTTTTGCAACTGTTTGAATCTCTTTTTTCCCTCACTAAAATATTAAAATTGACCTCACATAGAATCTTGTGATTATTTTTATTTGCAAACTATATAATAGCTTTTTTTTTACAGCAAAGTGTTCCAAGAATGAAGCCCACACACAGGATAATAAAAACTGAATTTATTAGACCTAAAAGCAATATTTAAATTTAACCTCTAAAGAAGATTGATTTAAGGTAAAAGAGATTTAATGATCACCTTCACCAGCTTGTATAGCCTGAATCCCCAGATGAACTGCATTTGCTGATGACCCTTTAATGTCAGCTACATTATCTGGGAATTATTAACACGAAAGCTCACGGAACCAAATGGCACATATTAGCACATATGTCAGTAGCGTTTGCCTAAATGACCAGAAGTCAAACATACTTAGCTTCCAGGTCTTGGCACTCTGCTCTGCACTTGCCAAAACAGAACTAGCGGTGTAGCCCTGTTTAGGAAACCTTTGGTTTAAATGTGAGGATAAACTTTAAAAATCTCACAGTGGAAGATCATGTAGGTTACACATTAAGTGTATATTCATTTGTAAAGAAGTGTTTTTTTTTAAATTATATATCATATCAGTTCAACAATTGGTATTCATGGAAGTACTTCAAACACGCAACTCAAAGTCCTCAGGTTTGCAGTTTTAACAGGGTAACAGACAAAAGTGTGCACAGAGCTCTGGGTGTCAGCGATAGACTAAGACTCACATACATGTAAATATCCTTCGGCGTGGAAAGGTCAGTAAAAACATCACACTGTAGCTGTGGAAGCATGTTAGTGATTCATGGGCCATGAATACAGAACTCTGCACCTTCTAGCACACGTTTCCCATCAGTCCCCTCTTCCTCTGCTTTGTGCACATCTAACAAAAGATGAGGTGATCGTCACTGCCGGAATATTAACATGATATGAGCATAAAAACATTTTAGAGTTATCATGAGAATTTTTTGCAACAACTGATCCAGTTTTACACACACAGCAGTGGAAACTGTGAATATGATGGATAAGTGGTTAGCATAAAAGTTAAGTGGCCGTGCTTGTAATTAATAGACTGTAAGTATCAGGAGTGTGAAATTTACTTAGATCCAGAGTAAAGTACTTTAATTCAAAAACAAACAAAAAATGTAAACATTAATAAAAGCATCAGAAGAAACCCTAAAGATCTGTTTGAAACGTGCACTTGCTAAGCCTTTATGCTCTCCTACGGTGTTGGTCAAAGCTCTTGGGGGCAGCTTTTCCATTCTGAGAAGCTCTGCCTCTAGTTGAAGCGTATGTGACGTCTGCACTTCACCTACAGACACACAGGAGGAGAGGGGAACATCTTATCATTGGTAAATTTCAGCGATTTTCAGTTAAATCCTTGGTGCTTCAGAAACATTACCTCGTGCCACTGCAGTGTGGAGACGGGCAGAGCCAGATGACAATGTGGGCATGCACGGATTTGATCTGGGTCGCCTCCATTGATCCAGGGGCCACGGCTGGGTCTGTCTGAGAAGTTTAATTCCTTGTTGGTGGTCATCAGCTGGGGAATGCCCCCCTTTTTTGAGAAATCAACCTGATCCTCCAACTCCTCCTCTGACTCCTCCTCCAACTCCTCCTCTGATGCTCCCTTTGACTGCTTTTCCACTTCATATTCCCACCTGGTTGTTGTAATACATGCCATCTGTTTTGTGGGGAATACAGAAAAAGATATTATACAGTGACTCTTTACAGTGTAAAAACAAAATAATTTCCTTCAATTGAATTCAGTTTTATTTATAAAGAGCAAAAAAAAAAATACACTAGTAAGGTCAAGACCCAACAATAATACAAAGAAAACCCCAACAATCAAACAACCCCCTATGAGCAAGCACTTGGTGATAGTGGCAAAGAAAATCCCCCTTTTAACAGGAAAAAACTTCTGGCAGAACCAGCCTAGGTCTTTGGCAGCATAACTAAGGGAGGATTTTGATCCTAACTTAACTATAAGCTTTATCAAAAAGTTTTAAGCCTAATCTTAAAAGAAGGTGTCTGTCTCCACAATCCAAACTGGGATCTGGTTCCACAGAAAGGGGGCCTGAAAGCTGAAGGCTCTGTGTCCCATTCTATTTTTAAATGCCCTAGGAACCACAAGTAAGCCTGCAGTCTGAGAGCAAAGTGTATTATTGGGGTGATACAGTAATATGAGGTGTTGTTCAAAGGACATAAACATTACTGAGAGATATGTGACCCTCTGCACACAAATGTTAAACTTGTTGCTCAACACCTGTGAGCTCAGTTTGATTTGGTCCTTAACTCTGAGCCTCACATTCTTCCTCTCTATGAAATAGAACAGGCTAGAGCACCTAGACTTTCATGCTCTGATCTGGAGACAATCATACACATATTTACTGTATTTGCAGCTCCCTTCTCTTGGGCACGAGGAAGCCTGAGGAGATCAGACCAGAAGAACCAATGACTTCCTTTGGATCACCTCTTAAAACTCATTTCTATAGACTTGTTTTTAAGTGATTCTGCTACACGTGATGTCTTCTATCTGATCATTTTCATCTTTTACTTGACTTCCTATATTTTCCTCCAGTGTCATATCTGTTTATTTTTAGTCTTTTTGTTGTGTGTATGTGTGTGACTTTAATCCACATGTATCCTTTCAATTTTCTGCTAACAAGCAGCCTGCTTAGCTTGACAAACTGTGATTATTATATGTAAAATAATGCTTTTAAATACCTCGTGCTCTTCTATATCAGCAACTGGAAATGATGCCATACATCTGGCACAATTTACTGACATTTCTGCTGTTAAGAGAAGCACGGCAAGCGTTAAATAGCAGGAAATAAAATTACACTGAGGTTTACTGAGATTTTCGCTGAATCTATTATTCTCTTACTCTCTTTGAGTGCCCTGCTGGTCGCTTGTAGGGGACTTGATGACTTCTCAGTGACTGAGCAGGTCAAGCCATGATTGGGCTGGTCTCTCAGTCTGACGTAACAGCCGCAGTCTCTGCAGAGCTCAGTGCGGCTCCCACACACCAAGCTGTGTCCGTCCAGGTCCTTCGATGGCACTTCTAGGTCACAAAACTGGCATGCCTGCAGACGTTCCACACATTCATCAGCCTGTGAGACAGCGAAAAGTACAGTTAGCCTGATAACTAGGATAACTAGGGCTCGTCCATGTGGGCAGCTGCAAGTTTAACTTGAGCATGAAGGTGTGGATTCTGTTTTGGTCATAACCCTCTCAGTCTATGGCGACTGTCTTCACTGGGGACAGTGATGGTGGTATTCCAGCACTTTCCAGTTCATGGCAAGCTAGAGCTTAAACTTGTCAAATTTAAAGGACATCGTGCAACCTTCAGCTCCACTTACTCAAAGTAAAGTAAAGTGAATGCAAAGTGCTACTTACTAAGGCACATTTAATCAAATATTACTGGGGTGCATGTATATATTTGAGTCTGTATATGTCTTGATCCTGTGTGGCTTTGAGAAAATCCAAAATAGATTTAATAAATAATTAAAAGCCCCAAATCACCTTGACATCCATGCCCATGATGATGAGTGAATGTAACCTTCTGACCACAGCTGCACTATGTTGTTCTAATGTGTCTGAATGTCTACCTAAATGGTGGTTTTGGTTTCACCTCATGATCCATCAGCTGAGAACGTTCCATCTTCTTGTTGCACTTGGAGCACCTCACCTGATAACAAGGAAATTTGCAGATTTACATAGATGTGCTGTGCTGTGTCTGTGCGTCGTGTACGTGTTTTACTTTTTCACATTGTGAGAACACCAACTCTTTTTAAAACAAAGTAAAACAAAGTAAACACTGGAATAGCTCATAAATCTCACTGCCTTCATGTTGAGTTGTTACCTACATTTTGCCCAATAATTGAGGGATCCATCATATTCTGATACACAAAACTACTCTCAGCTGCTTCCTTTTATTCACCAGGGGTCACCACAGCAGGGAGCTCCAGGGAGTCCCATATGGAAAAGATATATAAATCTTATAAAGTTTGTATCTGTCTTGTGTGAAACTTGTATGAAAAGCATGCAAGAGTTAAAACAGATATAAGATCCCTAGAAAAATTATATAAATGAAACCTGTATGTTTTAGATTCTTACTAAAACAATATATGACATTGGCCACTTTCATGAGTAAATCATATAAGCCTTATATGATTCACTATATGAAGTAGGCCACATCGGATGCAAGTCTTTTATAAGTTTTTTCTATTTCTTTTCCATATGGGGTGTTTTTTTGTTTTTTTTTTTTACACCTGATGATCTTCCTGATATGCCCCCCAAAAGCATTCATATCTCCTCCCAGGACTGAATCTGGGAGCAGTCACTTGTTTGGCAAATATGCAAATTGCTCACTACACAGACACATGCTGATACTCAAAAGGTAGAAAGGTGTACCAACGCGCAGGGAATGACAGCACTCTGTGGCCTGTGCTGAAATTCTGAAATGATCTCCATGAAGTGGATCTGTGTGAATAAACAGCTTCACCGTGTTTGTACCTCTGCATGCTGTTCCTCTCTGTGATCCTTCAGCTGATCCCTGGGAACTGATTCATTGCAGTCCGGACAGAGACATAGGAATCGGCTGCAGTGCGTCTCATGTAGAGCAAAGTTGGCTTCAGCGACCTCTTTGTGGCTTAAACAACAATAGAAGGAAAGACGTATGTCATTTTGTAGCAAGGGAAGTCACATTCAAAAACAAACACAGAAATAAAGTATGTACCCGAGAACCACATTTTTTGTTCAGCTGTCCTACTGAATGCTACTATAGGAAGTGACAGGTATGCCCTGCCTGTAATACAGCTGGACTCTCTTTTTTGGACTGTGCTGCTACGTGTTAACACAGTAAAAGCACAGGCAGTGAGGAGAGAGGAGAAAAATTGCAGATTTATTATTGCTAACAATCAGTTAGAGATGAGACACACCTTATTCAGTGAAGCAGTAACACGAAAATATCTTTATTAGGGAAAGCCTTCCTGAAAACGAAACTAAGACTGCTTTTGATTCACGTAAACTGTCAGACTCACGCAGTTTCCATTA